AAGGTAACATTCACACACACATTCATACTCCGATGGATGCATCGGAGAGCAATTTGGGGTTAGTATCTTGCCCAAGGATATTTGGCATGCAGACTGGGGAAGCCAGGGATCGAACCACCAACCTTCCGATCAGTAGATGACCTGCTCTACCACCTGAGCTACAGCCACCCGGTAACATACAGGAGTCATCACTCACTGTAAAGGTGACACAGAGTTCCCAAACTTCATGCATTACCACTGCATCAATCACCAACAGGCGTTATGCGCAAAGGTGATCGGGCACGTCATGACTCCCGTCGTGAAGATCATAAACAGCATTCGCTCCAGAGCTAAACAGCACAGAGCAGTCAAGGTGCTGTTGGAGGAGCTGTCAGCTGACTGTGGTGACCTGCTACTAAACCCGGTGGCTCAGCAGGGGACGGATTTTGCTTTGTTTTGTGTCACTTTTGGGTGAAATCAGGGAGTTCATGCAATCCAAGGGGAAGACACATCTCTGCTGGAGGACACTGAGTGGATACTTGACCTTGTGTTTTTGACGGACATTACTGGAAAACTGAATCATTTCAACTGTAAGCTGCAAGGCAAAGGTAAGACTGTTGCTGACATGATAAGTGCTTTAAATGCATTTAAAGCCCAGATGAGCATCTTCTCTGTGCATGTACAGAGAAATGCACTTTCCCTCTGTGCAGATGGTGCTGAGAGACAACGCTTCTGCTTCTGAGACTTTTGACAAAGTTGCAGAAAAGTACACTTGATCATTCATTTCCAATCCCTTCATGAACGTGGACACAACATGCATCGCTGAGCAACTAAGAGCAATGTTCAGCTTTATGCTGGACAGGTGGAAATCGAAATTAGAACACAGCAAAATGACGTCCACCTCAAAGCCAAACTTTGGGTGCCTTGTTGACGCAGAAAAGTACAGTGGTGTATGCACAGCATCTGTGAAGGTTGCCAGCCTGTTTGGTTCAACCTGTCTTTGTGAATCAGCCTTTTCTGACATGAACTTCATCAAGAACAAGCACAGGACACGCCTCTCTGATGCACATCTGCAAGACTGAGAGCTGCAGTGTCCAGTTATACCCCAGATTGCAACACACTGGTGAACAGCAGGAAATGCCAGGGTTCCCAGTGGCAACATGGCAGTGTCATGGCAAAGCTGAATTTAATTATTGAAAAACAAACGTGTTCATTGAATGTAACATTTGATTTTTTTTAAAAATCTGCAGATTTTGTGACAAGTTCAGTAAAATCTGAAAGTTGATTTTTGTATGTTTATAATTGATCATCTGTGCAGACATGGTGCAGTGCATGATTTGTTCAACATTGTTAGCGGCAAGTGAAAATGTTGCAGATTATTTGAAAATGTAAACACTTTAGAGATTTATAGAAAGAAAGTGTGTATATGTATCTGTTTCCTACCTTCTTAAAGCAAGAATCAGTGTCTTTACAGAGATGAATACATCAATTATTAATAATAACATATAATTAAAAGTAAATTGAGCAAATTTGTTATTTCAGAAGTATCAAACTGGTAGCTCTTCGCATTAATCAGTACCCAAGAAGTAGCTCTCAGTTTCACAAAGGTTGGTGACCCCTGAGTCCAGTTTACTGTAAAGACTTCTCAGGATGAAACAGACACCCAGGATGGAAGCACATGTCCCGTCTGCTTTCAGTGTTGCTATTCCAACCCTATTCCCAAAGAGATACAGCCCAGTTTCTCTTTGACTGCAGCTGTTGATTAAAACTGTCAATCATTATACTGTCTAAGTTTTACAGCATCAAGTCACTAATGAAAAACAAACTTGTGAGAAACATGTACCTTGATCCAAAACCAGCATTAAAACAAGTTCTCCAGTTTTGTTTCAGTCTGAGCTGTCCGGGCCTCTAACATGGGTATGAAGAGTTATTATAAATGCTCTAAACAACAGAACAGTTCAACTCTGTCTTATTTAAATAGGCCAAATTGTCTATCCCCGAAGATGCGTGATTATAAAATATACAAAATAAGATAATAACAAAGTGTATTAGGCGAATATAAAGTGATATTTACATTTTTCTGCTAGATTTAACAAATCATAAGCTACTTGTCAGTTATGACGGCCCTTAAAATAAACACTGGTGCTCAAACTAAAGACATTTCCAAGTGATAACAGGCAGTGCACATGAAAATGGCTTTCAGCGTCAAGGTGCTGTATTAAGCTTCAACAGTTGTATGGGATATCATTAGCATAAATACACAAGACTAGGTGTAGAGGCCTTACCGAGGTATTTAATGGTGAATCCCCGAGGCGGATTAAGAGACCTCCGCATCCATCCCTCCCTCAGCACCTCCAGGTGGTCTTCCTTGCCTTGAATTAATAGCACATGCTCGTCAATCCATCCCAGGAAGAAAGTCTCGGACACGGCCTCTGTAATCCGCTGGTTCCATACATGATGCTGGGTATTTTCTGCTTTAAAATCGGCAAAAATCTCATAGCCGGTGTGGTGTCTCGGGAACTCGTCGCTTTCAGACACCCTGCCCCCTAACGCCTCCCCAGCCCCGACCCTGGATAGCACTATAGCCAAAGAATGGGGAGCTATCTGCAGGAAAGACTCCATTGTCGCATCGGCCTTCTAGCTCTCGGTCGAATACACTACAATCGTTTTATTCATCTCTAACAACGTCGGGCTGAACGGAAAACAAACAGTCCATGTTGGCTGGCAGTGCAGCTACGTTTTGCGGTAGCCGCATAGATTATAGTTGTATTTCATCAAGCTAGTCTGCTAGCTGCAGTTAGCTCTTTAACCTTACATGTACCCAATTTCTACATTTTAAGGTCCGTCTTCCTGTTCGGGCGGAAAGTAGAGCCCCGAAACCGAACACGCAAATTAGTGTTGATTCATCCCGAGTGGTGTCTAGCAGGAGCAATAGAGGACATGATTCATTCTCGATTTAAACCTCGTTGTTGCGCCTCAGATCTAGAAATATTGCTAGCTAGCTGGATGCTAACATTTTAATCAATTCACCCCGGCAACAGATGCGGCGAGCGCCCCTCTTCTTAGCAACAGACAGCAACGCAGTTTCGTGGGTCAGTTGGCTTTGATTTGCCAACCTTTACGATTAAGGGCTAGGCGTAATTTTCAGTTGTCAGATGATCGTGTCGAGTCTTGCGATACGCTTTAAACAATACGTAAGAATACAGCTGGATGCAGGACTGTCTCATCCAGGTACAGTGGTGACAGACGTCGCTACGGAGCGACGCTTTAATAAGTGTGAAAACATTCTTCCGGGTACATTTTCAACTTAAGACTCTTAGTGCCACATATATATGTGGGATAACTATTCTAAATAATTACCATTACCTTGTTAGCAAATTATTATACTTGAATAATACATATAAAATGACTCACATATAATTATACTAGAGTAAATCTTTGTTCACTTGAAATGAGCAGTTTTGAAACACACATTTTGTAGTAGTTCGATAGATCATTTTTATGAATTTTCTGAACGATTTGGGAGTGATTGTAGCCTCCCCAGTGTAACGAATCACAAATAACTGTGTGTGTTTTGTGTGTCTTGGCTGTGCACGGGTTCTGTGCAATATGTGTGGAAGATGATGAATTCTGAAGTCCTTTCCAAGCTAATAACACACACACGCGTGCGCACACACAGACACACTAACTGCCATAAAACCTCAATTCTTCCACGTTTGTACACATTTTAGTAATGATTTGATAGCTTACACATCCTCAGTGCTGCTGCTCCAACACCTCTGATTCAAATGACCAGCTGGATGTGCTGCAGCTGTCCCATAACAGACTGATCATTTAATTCAGGTGTTTTGGAGTGGGGAAACACCCCTACCTAAAGCAAGCTGTCCCAAGAACCAGAACTTTGAACTGCTGCATTGCCATTATTGCCTGAAGAAAACTGGCCCAACTACACAGTGTTGCCCTGAGACAACAAACCAAAATCTGTCTATAAACAACTAAAAATACTTCTTCAATGTTCTTAAACATGCACATATTTTAAATATATGCTTATTTCAATTTAAACGTGCATAAAATTGATATTAGTCTCAGCATTAGCTGCACTCTGTCATGCAGATCTGACATCTGAGAGGATCGCTCCACCCCCGAGTCAAAGGTCAAACTCTGTGCTTCTCATCGTTTTACTGAAAACTGAAGTGTTTGTGTCACAAAATAAGTAAATACGTCTTTTTTAAATTAAGGGAGAGTGTAATCACAACAAAATTGGTTTAATTCCTGAAGGCAACACCGTGCCATAGAGGGTTATTAGTAATGGGTGTAAATGGGTGAATGTGGTATGCTCTATAAGAACCAGTCTATTTACCGATTCTTCAACCTGCATTTGTGGGATTGTAAGTCAACCAGTGTGGTTGTGTTGGTCACTCTGGCAGAACCAGTGCACTCAAGCTGGTGGGAATCCAGATGCTCAGAAAAAGAGTCAGCAGCAGAATCAGCTGTTTGACACTGGCAGAGAAGATCTGGCAGGTTTTAACCCACATACTCAACCCTACTCTTTACTTTTGGTCCTAAGTTTATTATTCAAGTCAAGGGAAATCATTTATTTACATGGGCTGTTTGGTTGAGTCATTCATTCATCTATCTATCTATCTATCTATCTATCTATCTATCTATCTATCTATCTAGATAGATAGATAGATAGATAGATAGATAGATAGATAGGTAGGTAGATAGATAGGTAGATAGGTATAAACCTGAAGTTAATTCTGCACGTCACATTTTTCCTCCCTCACATAAGAAACTTCCCCGTTTAACACAGAAAAGGAGAAGAAATAAGTTGCAAATAAGAAAACAAAAAGAGTTGAATTATCTGGGAGGCAAAACTTAACATCTTGTGCAACACAGGAACACTGATCGGGAGTTGCTGAGGGGACAGTGTGTGATTGGTGTACCACCACATGGCCAGAGGGAGGAGCAGTTTGCAATCTCAGGTCAGGGAGAAGGGGAGGTTGGAGGTTGTGGCTGATAAATCTGAGGGGCTGATGAGAGTGTGAGGCTGTGACCCTGAGCGTGTCAGCATCTCTCAGGTGTGGATGTTGAAAATTTAAAGGGCAAAGGAGCTGATAATGCAGGTCACTGACGGAGCTGAGGCTGTGCAAGCACCTGGTTTGTTCCCACCTTTGGGGACAGGTGCACTGTAAGACCTGAGAGGATTGTAATGAACAATTACAACAAAGTCCACCACCAGCTCCTTTGTTTTGGCCACATTCAGCTGCAGGTGGTTCACCTCACACCACCTCATAAAGAGGTCAGTCCGTCCTCTGGACTCCTCTTCCCGTGTCCAGACTTCCAATAATGGCCGTGTCATCAGAGGATTCCTGGAGTTTCTGTGATGTGCTTGAAATCGGCCGTGTGGATGGTGAAGAGGAGAGGGGACAGCACAGGTGCTCCCATGTTGCTGTTCAGACTGACACACAGCTCTGCAGTCTCACAAACTGTGGTCTGCCTGTCAGGTAGTCTCTGATCCACTGGACGTGTGGAGCCTCCGCCTGCACGGACTCCGACTTCTCCCTCAGCAGCACGGGCTGGATCGAGTTAAAGGCGCTGGAGAAGTCCAAGAACATTATCTGAACTGTGGTGTTGGGTCGAGGAACACGCTCTCTGCAGCACATGCATCACTGCATCGTCCACCCCCAGGTGGGGCTGGCATGCAAACGGCAGAGGGTCCTGTGACTAACTCGTAAGTTGCTCGTTGTTACACTACAAACGTAAGAGACAGTCTGTTTTTTCCTGTTATTATTTAAATCTGTGTGGTGGTTGCATTTGGTTACCCATAGGTGTGTGTGGGACCGTGCAGACAGCAACATATGTTCGTATCATCACACACACAACAGCTGTGTGCATTCTTAATGCCTTGTTGTAGGAGGTAAGTGTTTGCCCAGACTGTGTTCAGTAAGTTCAAATCATCACATCACTGGTGCACTGGTACAGCACATGTGGGTGAAGCTCTGGTGTGCAAGCTTCCCAAGCAACAGTGGTGTTGTCACGGTGAGCTGTGTGGCAGGCAGAGGTTGGACCCAAACGCAGGACTCAGAGATGGGACTCGGAAGGATGATCTAAACTGGGAGGTCATGACGTGGCATGACATAACCTGACAAAACATGACGGCTGAGAAACACACAACCAACGAGGAGGATGCAACAACTGGCAGGGAATAACACAGGGCTTGAATACATACTGGTGTGATTAGGGAATGAGACAGGAGGGAGACACAGCTGGGACAATGCAGGCATGATGAGGCACAGGGACACAGCATTGAAACTGTCACGGCTGGGGCAGCAGCCATGTGATGTGTGGGACTTGAATGCAGCACTTACTGAGATGCGAGGGTGGTTTATTATAAATGACAGAACACAAAGTGGGGATGGCAAAAACAGAACTTAGGAGAAACTAAACTGGGAGAAACTAAACTGGGAGAAACTAAACTGGGAGAAACTAAACTATACAACGGCAAACCTGAACACGAAGGGAAGACAGCAGAGAGAGCACACAGTGGATTCACAGAGAGGTTCCCAGACAGTTTCCAGGAGATGAATACAGAGTAATGCAGAGTAACACAGACGACGCAACGAGGAACACAGGCAGACACACACTATAAATCAGGGGTCCCCAATCCCAGTCCACGAGGGCCGGTGTCCCTGCAGGTTTTAGATGTTTCCGTGATCCAACACAGCTGATTTAAATGGATAAATGACCTCCTCAACATGTCTTGAAGTTCTCCAGAGGCTGGTAATGAACTAATCGTGTGATTCAGGTGTGTTGACCCAGGGTGAGATCTAAAACCTGCAGGACACCGGCCCTCGTGGACTGAGATTGGGGACCCCTGCTATAAATACACAGAGGGACACTGGAAATCACACACAGGTGGGAGACACAGTTGGACCTGATGAACCTGACGAGACAGGGAAGACTAACACCAGGGACCAACAGAGGGAGCACCAACCCAGAAACCCAGAATCCAAAAATCCCAAAACACAAATCATCCCAAAAACAGTCCACAAATAATAATGAGAATATTAATAACAATAAATACACCAAACCCAAAATCACTGAGTCCACAGACTCAGGACCATGACAAGAACTACCTGTGTCTGTTTGGTCAGTATCAGGCTCGGTCTGACGATGTTTCCACTGCTTTTCTCTTTCAGGCTGTGTTCACAGTAAGTTTCCCGAGATTTGGGTGTGAGATTTCTCACCAAGGCATGGTCACCTGGCTGAAGCTCAGAGCTCCATGCATGTTGGTTTTTCTGTGCTCTTCTTGCACTCCTTCTCATATTCTGCCTCACAATTGCATAGGCCTTTTACATAACTTCTCTCCATAACTTCTGAGACTCGTGAAGTGTCCGCAGCATACCTAGCAGTGTCCTGTTGAAGCGCTCTGCAGGATTGGCCGGTGGGTGGTACAGGGAGGTACGAGAATGGCTGATACTGCAGTAGTCTTGGAGCTTGCCCTGGTCACGCTGTATTTTGGATGGGAAACCAAAGTTCATGATAAAGTCATCAAAGAGCTTCTTTGTCCCAGTCTTTCCAGTCCTTTGTTGTGTATGTCCGAGCGTATTTGGTGAAATGATCCACGACTCCGAGTATTCCTCACCTCCTTTGCATTCATCCAAATGCAAACAGTCAATGGACATCATCTAAAATTGTGCAGAAGTCTCAGTGCTCTGAACTGGTGTTCTGGTTATTCTGTTAGGTGTCTTCTTCTTCATACAGCGACACACCTGAGTGACAGAGTGCTCCACTTCCTGCCTCATTTTAGACCAGCAGAAGCGCTCCCTGGTGAGAGCGACCATCCTGTCTGCCTCTAAATGTCCCATCTCCTTGTTTAGGTGTTTGTAGATCATGGACTTTAAATGCAATCTCCATCAATCTACAAATGGGGCCACTGCCAGAGAAGGTACCCGACTGCCTGACTCTCCACCATCTTTATGATCTTTTCAGGGACAACATTCGATTTATGGCTGCATCTGCGTTCTGGGCATCTCTGACGTGGTCAACTGCAAAAGGCTGAATTGTTTCTGAGATGATGCCTCCTTCTGGCAATGCGTCGACATTACAGGTGACAGGTGAGACCCAGCTCATCTCTCCTGTTTTCTCTCTCTCTAGATCCTTCCCAATATGGCATCCTGCTGGCATTCCTCTGCATTCCTGCATGAATGGGCTTTCCTCTTCTTGATAAGAAATCTCGATTTGCTGATCC